GTGGAGAGGGATTCTCAGGGCCCCAGGAGGAAACTGAAGGAAAAAGGAAAATAGGAAGAGGAAAGAAAAATGTGGGTGGAGGGCTGGAGCCAGACATGCTCACTGAGACCTGTCCTGCGCTATGCTAGGCGCCCCGTGGAGTCAGACAATTCAAGATCATGCTGAAGCCACGGCTGTCTCCCTTAGCGGGAGGACATGGCGAAGCATGGAGTGGAGCCAAGGTAGAGCACTGCATTAATTCTTGGTGAGTGCTGGAAATTGGGTCTCGTGGCAGGTGTGGCTAGCTGGAAAACATCTTGGAGTGGGGCAGAACTTGGCACCACAGTGGCATCAATCAGCCATCCCTGTCCCAGAGAGGACTGATGGGATCAGCTTGGGCTGAGTCACACCCCTGGTCAGGACCCACAGCCTAAGTTGCTGAAGGCTCTTGCCGGTTGACTGGCTCAGAGAAGAGGGGCTAGCCTACGGTTCCTGCGTGCACCTCAGCTAACAGCAAGCTAGAGAAGGCAGCAAGCCCCCAGCCAGCACATTTCGGAAAAACCATACGCAATATAGAAAGGGCCTGAGACCTCCACCACACACCTGTCTGAAAGAAACTAGAAACATGACAAGAGAAAAAAATAAGAGAAAACCTCCAGCTGCTGACCCTGGGAAAATAAGCCCAGGAGAGGTAAATACAGAAGAGAATCAGTGCAGCAATCATGCAATATTAGCCACAACATCAGCGAACATGTGACCTCATAGATGAACTTAAAACTGAAAATCTAATCCAAGTGAGGCAAGATATAAAAAGATTGATTAAAGAAATGCTAAGCCCCTCTCAAAAATACACAGAGGGAAGAATGCAGGAACCCAGAAAAGGAAGAGAAACCTTTGGTGAATATAAACAAAATCTAGAATACATGAAACAGACCCAAAGAGATTACCATGAAACAAAAAACTCCATTGAAAGCTGGCAAAATGCCTTGACAGAAGCTAAAGTTAGCCTTTCAAAACTTGGAGATTTACAATGTGTGAACATGAAAGAAAAGACCTCTTAAAAATTAACAAGGAACCAGGAAGTAACAATTCAAAGGCTAGAAGACGACAAGATGATCTATAATTTAAGAATAAAAAAGTGGGCAAAGAAGCAGGAGTAACCACAAATGAATTACAAAGACTATTAACAGAAATAATTAAGGAAAATTTCCCAAGCATAGGAAAAAGAAATGATATCCAGATAATGAGGCATACAGAACTCCAACCAAAACAAATCTACAACTAGACATGTAATAATCAAGATTCCAGAAATCCACCACAATAACAGAATATTAAAAGCAGCCAGAGAAATGAAGCAGATCACCTACAAAGGAAATATCATCAAAATAACGACAGACTTCTCAACACAAACTATCAAATCGAGAAGAGCCTGGGGGGGAATATTTCAAGCCCTGAAAGAAAATAACCTCCAACCTAGATTGATGTACCCTGAAAAACTCTCTCTCAAAATTAATGGAGAAATAAGATATTTCCAAGATAAGGAGGAACTGTGCGAGTTCATTGCCACCAATCCAACCCTACAAAAAATACTGAAGGACATTATAGAGAGAAAAAAAAAATACCAGGATTCCAGCAAGTGGCAGAGAGGCCTCAATGAATGGGACAGACAGTGCAATGAAAGAGAAAAGTAGACAAATAATAGCAGAAAAATAGAATAGCAGAGACGAGGCAGAGAAGGTAGGCTATAATCTTTAATATAGCCTTGATACACTAACAAAAAGAAACACAGGCAGAGTAGATTAAGAGGCAGGATTCATCAAGATGCTCCGAATAGGAAATATACTCAACCTGAAAGAGGGTTAATAAACTGAAAGTCAAAGATGAGAAAACAATGCTCTATGTGACAGGGAACCAGAGAGAAACAGGAACAACTCATCCAGCAGCTGCAGATAGGTTGGAAAGTTATGACACTTTTGTGCAGTGTAGAGCTACACAGCTGGAAGGAAGGAAAACCTTGTGGCTTTTACTAAATACAGGAGTACAGCTCAAGATCAAGCTCAGGGGTAAACAGGTTCAGCACCACTCAGATAGATAACGGGTTGATCCCCTAATCTAAAAACTAAAGGAGCTAGTAAGGACACAAAATATTCAAAGCATCCTGAGAAAGAGAAAGGTGAAGAACTGCCTAAAAAGGCAGGCAGATGACATTGTTAATACTGTATCAGGATTTAAAAGCCACAGTAGTCTTATCGCTAGTTTGATTTTATTTTGTTCCGATCTATCTATTCATACTAGATTTGAGGACACAGACAGCTATCCCCAAAATAGCAGGCTATACCACAGTAACTATCCTCAATCTCCTATTAAACTGAAGCTCTGTATTATTAACATTGTCTTACTATGATTATCTTATTTGAAGCTGGCTTGTTATACCACTGTTTTGCCTTGACTGATTTTATTTGAATTTGGTATGCTTGATAGTATGAAGTCAAAGCAGAGGCAACTACTCTGAAGATGACAAGATGTAATAACATACCCATTCCAGTTTATTAACTGTTTTTGAAGTCCTACAATGTCTCCAAAGTTGTTTTTATTAAAATAGCTATGTAATGCTTTGTTCAATTATATTATGTCTGTTGACGTGAACAATTCTATTGAAAACAAGAGAAAGCATAGTAAGTACTGTAGATCACCTAATACTGTGGTTTTATATCTTTTTCATTTTTTTCTAGCAATTTGTTTTGTTGTCTTATGATCTGTTTTTCCCTGTAATACAGAAAGGATAGAGATACATGTAGAGATTCACACATGGTAAGAATTTCTAAACAGTTTACGGGAACAGATTATGTAATGCACAATGTAATGAACAGTCTCAAGAAGAAGAGACACGAAGAAACCCAGTGCTAATTCTGTAGCATTATGATATAAAATCTAGCAATACTATTATTCACTGTTCAGAGTGATATTAGTCTAGTCTCTCATGTTCAATTTCAGCATACGTAAAGGTCAGGACAGCTACTACAAAGAGAATGAGAGACATCATGGCAGTCATTATTGACTTCCCCATTGTCAGGTCTTGAAGACCTAAAAAGCCTTATGACTATTAGTTCTATAACGTATGTATTCAATGTGTGAAGATGGGGACAACTATTTGGAAGAAAACTAGAGACAATATGATAGACAGTGAAGATTTCCAGTGGACTTGCTTTGAAATCTATGTTTCTTAAAATTGTTTCCTCATGATATTTTTGTTTTGTTTTGTTCTGTTTAATCTTACCCTCTTTAAAATAAAAAAATTGAAAAGAACTACAGTAACTCTTCCTGTAATGTGGATTTCTAAAGTGAACGTGGTCACCAAAACCAATCAAGAGTTGGAGAACACTCTAACTTCTAAAGAAGTCCAAGATGTCACTCAGTCAAAAAGGGAACTTGGCTTTGGAGCAAGACTGAGTGCTGGAAAAAAAACGAGCTCTCTGCTTGTCATCCCAGGCCCGCAGTCAGAACCTTGTACCTTCTCCTCAAAACAGAAAATGGCAAATGTGCCATGATCTTTGGTTACGTCATATTTTAGTGAAATTATTTCAATACATACTGGTTTGTAATTTTTTCTCTGCAGCAAAACTGGGAATATTCAAAATATATAATGCAAAATTTTAATGACAAATAGCGCCGTCCAGCACTGTGAAACTGCAAGGCCCTTGTGCGGGCTCCAGCACTTGCACCCTTGGGAAAGGATGGGGAGCAATGTGACACTGAAGCCCCAACTCTCTCTCCAGCCAATTTCATTTTAGTCAGTAACTGCATTCTTGCTTTCAAGTCCCAGTGAACACAGGAAGCAGATGTCTGCTTCACTAATCATAGCCCACGGTTTAATAATTCCGTGTTGAGTCTCCTATGAAAAAGTCTCTCAGGAAGACACCATGCAGTCAGTATACGGTGAACTTTCCCTAATGAGCAATTCAGTAAAAATTCTGCAATATCCAGGGAGATAAGTGCGGCTACTTTGGAGTATTATAAACCATACTGAAGATCACAAGTTTCCTCTCAATCTCCCTTCTGCGAGCACCCACTTAGGAAAGATATTCTTGGAGAAGATGAGGAAAAGACCCCAGGGTCTCCCCCAGAGTTCTCTCGTTAACAAGCTGTATATGCAGTACTGCCCAGAGCTGCTGGCCTCTAAGTTGGCTCAAATACATGCTTTGGGTCAGCTCCTTCAAAGTCCTGATGTCTTTTTTTTTTAAAGCTAGCTAATAAAGGCAGTCTAATTCCACAACATGATGACTGTCAACCCTACACTTCATATTACAGATGAGAATAAAAATAATGCAAGCTGGTGACTAGTAGGTTAGACAATTATCAGCAAGAGAGCATAAATGGTTTCCTGAAAGTCTGTGATGTAGCAGATCTGTTTTAAGGGATTTCCAGGAAATTCTTAAGAGCTGGTTGAAATGGGATGATTCTAGCTGTCGTCTGGACTACCACTTTGCCAGGCTTTTAAAGCAGTGACTCCCACTGCCCAAAAATGCTCGAAAAGACTTAAACTGTCCCATGCTGCTCAATTACCCCACTGTCCTGAGTTACTGGTCATGGGATAAATAAATGGCAGAACTGACTTCTCAACATGCTAGTCGTTAGGGTATGGTTAAAGGAACAGCAGCTCCCGGCTTCCTGACTGCATGGACAAGTAAATATTTTAACAGTTTTTATAGAGGGCAGGATTATAGGTTTTTGATTTTACAAAATATAGGGGGTACAGCACAGAAAGGCACACAACGGATGATTTTAAAAACAGTAACATTCTCACTTTGTCTTTCAGGCCCACAGACAGCCCCACGGAGGAATCAGACAGAGCCCTCCTTTTCCTTTGAGCTACACATCCCACCACTGTCCATGGCCACACTATCACCATTAACTCTGGGCAGACAAGCTGCAGACCCTGACTTAGATGGACTGATTTATAGATTTGTTTCTTTTAATTCACATGCATTTTCTTAAACAAAAATTTATTTACTGAGAGCTGCTTCAGAGTACAAAGTTACTTTATTCAAAGTTTACTGTATACACAGAACTGATTAATGGGCATTTCAAGTCCCCTAATCCATAAATACAAAGTTCAGTGGGTCATGCTGAAGAAAATACATGGACCCTGATTACAGTATTTTTACATGGAGAAAACACACACACATACGCAAGCAGCTTCTGAGATTATTTATTACATTAAAAGTCAAAATAGTCATACTTTTAAATGTTCTCTCAAAATTAAAACTATTGTTTTAAATAACCATTTAACTTTTATTAGAGCAGTCAGAAAATTGTTAGTGTAGCCTCTTTTACACACAACACATATACAATGATTATAAAAACTTTACGTGAAATTTTAGAGTAATACTTTTTTTAAGTAGTTTTTTTTTTTTTTTTTTTTTTTTTGAAGACACATATGAATAGTCAATGTGGGTCCATGTGGGCCTGAAAAATGTCTTACTTTTTGACAAACCTTGCCATCAAAATCTTATCCACTTTCTCTGCATTTTTACCAGCACCCAAGAGACATAGGTGGGTCTCTTTAGTGACCTCCTTTGCCTGACAACCCCAGCACCTAGCAAGCTCCCAAGCTCAGCTCTGAGCCTCCCACGTTTGCTAGATGCCAGGGTCCCTCCTGGCCTTGGGAAAATGTGCTGGAGCTCTGCAAAGCACAGCGCCAAGGAGGCTATTTCACTGCCACAACAAAGACCACCTTTAGAATACAACACTGTACACAGAAACCCACAGACAAACCCTAGACAACCCTGATCCCTATGCCTGGATTTGTTCTCCTTCTCCTTTGGAAGGGAGATGGAAATAAAAGCAAGATACAGACTCTTTACAGCAAAACAGGTACAAAGCTCCTGTCTCCAGCAGGATGAAACCTGACAATGGGATGGGAGGACTAGGGCTGAATTGCAGGTGATGCCTCTACCTTAAGACGAGGCGCTGAAATCGGGCATGCTGGGAAATAGTAAAAGGCACACTGTTTGGGAAGAATGGGTGGGATGGGAGTGTCCCTCACACACATTCACATGAACAGGAGGGGACAGCACTGTGGACAGAGAACAGAAACTTGGGCTCCTCTCTCTGGTCACCATCTCTGGGGCGCTGAAATTGCGAAGCACACACTGCAGAAGCCCCAGCACATTATACTCCAAAAAAACTAAAAGAAAGTATCTTCAAATCCTGAATAAACAAAGTCTAACTTCCAGTTGGCTGATGAACCCAGTCGCCTCTACCAGACTATCCTGAAAGAAGTGCCTAGGGTGAGTTCTCTTTTGCTCACAATAAAGGTACATGGTTACAAGGCTAGTTCATGTCTATAGATCCAATTCAGAAAGGCAGATTTGGTCTCACCTAGAAACAGTAGTGCTTCTCAAAAGGGCTATGTCACTCCCCTGAGGGTGCTCTTCCATCTACTTAGTCCCAAATGCAGAGTTTCTTGAGTTTCTTGATATTTCCAGGATGACTTCTCAGTGAGCTGGGTTTGCAAGAATTCCCAGTGAGGGACATGGCCAGCAGGCAAGCTGAGGCTACACAAGGGAGACTGGAGCTGCTCCATGGACATTTTTGTTGTTGAAATGTTTCCAATAAAATTAGTCAAGTGCATCCATTCTATGTGAAAACATGATCTGATATTTTTGTCTACACTTATAAATGAATTAATGAAACTGACAATCATATATGCAGAAAGAAATAAAAATAAAATTATCTTGACCATTTTTATGAACCTGATGCAAATTCAAAAGTCACAAAACAAGGGAATTCCAAATTTCTGACCTCCATTTTAATTCAAAATATACAATGTACAGCATGAATCTGACATCTTGAGACATGAGAGTTCCGAGAGGAAGCGTTCTTATTCATCAGAAATTTAGCAGAAAACATGCTTATTTTAAAAACATTAGTATTTGACTTATTCTGAAATAACCCTTCACCAGGAGGCGCCGTGGGCTCTCAGTTTCTCTTGCACAGTGCTCGACACTCCCCTCGCAGTGAGTGCTGGTCCGATTCACTGTGAAGCTCTCAGCTCGTTGCTGCAGGTTTCTGTGCAGAGGCAGTAGCATCCTTCAAGACTGAAGTCCCAATCCAAGGCAGCAGAGAATCCGGGACAGAGCCAGAACAAAGTCGGAGCAAGGACAGACGTAAAGGAAGAGGACCTTTCAGAGCAGGGCTTTATGACACTCAGCTGCATGCAGTCTCTGCACGCACAGGTCCGATAAGGTTTTGTCTGAAACTCCAAAACACAAGGGCCAGAGCTATAGCTCACTGCTTCTAGGTTGCTCTGTGCACCCAGAAGCTCAAAGCCCTGCTCCTCCAGGGATGAGCACTCACACTGAGGACTGTTAGCGGTGTGCTGGACCATGAAGGGCCATGGCCCAGGCATGTATGTTTCCCATGAGACACACAGAGAAATGCTCTTCTAACGTAACCTAGGCCAACATAAGACTTAGCAAGAAAAGGTCATTCTCAGAGATTCTAGGAAACAACACAGATTATATGCATGCACTAAATTCTGCACAATACTCAGTATTCTACACTATTTCTTGAAGTTATACAAGGACAACTTTATTCGTATTTGTCTAATATTCAAGGTATTTCTTAAAATGAAGCCAGTCTTTGAGCCACATATCCCTTTAGAACATACTAGAATAAAATCAAGCCCACTGTTTGGCAATGCCTCAGTGTTTCCAAAGACCATGCCGCAAGCTAGGGTATCACCTGAAACACAACAGAATGGCCCTCACTGAGGCATCTGGCGCCTTCTTACCTCTCCAGCAAAGTCAGTCCTTCCCTTAGTGTGTTTCAGATTCTCACTATGAAATTTACTCCCCCCCTCCCCCCCACCCCCCCACTTTTTATTGTAAAGCTCTTAAGTTTTTCCCTCTCTTGGGTCTCTTTCATTTGTACTCACAGCTTTCAGAATCTAAGAAAGGCTCTGAAATATTTATTTCAGTACAGACTGAGTTTTTTCCTGCCTGGATAATTCCTTCTGGGTATATCAAATGCCTACGCCTCATCAATACTGTGGCTAGAATTGGCTAAGAGGAAACACCTCTATTGACGAAAGTATCACAGACAGAGAGTTTCAAAAAAGCCAATTGTAATGGGAAAATAGCTAAACAGGCAACACACATTTAGATTAAAATATAACTTGATTCAAAAGTAAAATCTAATGTCTTTATTGTGCCTGCTATTAAACCCACAACAGCCAGTTCCTCTTACAACAAAGCAAAACCCAAAAGGGAGCGGGGGTGACAGGTAGCCTTCAGCCTCTAAAAGCTTTCCAAAAGAATCTTAGGGAATGTCTGCTGCAGATGTACATGGATTTTACAAATTCTGGATAATTCACCAACAATAAACCTTACAATAAATTCCTATGTGAATACTCTCCCAAGCCATTATCAGCCTCAAGTTCCCTGTACTTTCTTCACCCTTCCCGTTAATCCTTTTCCAAGCTGTTTCTGACTGTGGTCCTCAGACTCCGTCTCCCCCAGCATGTTCCCAAGTCTCTGAATCCCCAGAAGGAACAGGCGAGGCTGGGAGGGACTGGCACCGTGGTCCTCCCGGGCTGGCTGGCACTGTGCTACCCCCGCTCTCCGTCCAGCCCACGGTCAAGGCCACCCTTGGCCATGGTCCAGGCTCACACGAGTAGCCCGCAGCTGGAAACTGTGCTCAGGTACATGGGAGAAGCTGACCTTTCAACTCTGCAGGGAACCTGATCCTTTCTGGAGACTGGAATCACTTCCCTGCTCTTCCTTTTTATTCCCATCGCCTACCTTTGAGCTACTACATAGTTCATTCACCGCGTAAGAGAGGAAAGGGGGAGCAAAGAGGTGAAAATGAACAGCTCTTTTCCTTCCTTGTTAGCATTCCTGTCCTATAAAATGGCTAATTTTGAAAACTGGCAGCATTTTGCCACATGTATTTGCATAAATTGGGGTAGAATATTGTAACATAGATGATCTCCAGGTTGAAATTTTGTAATTCGGTAACCTGTATGATTGTCGCTTGATGACTTTTTTCCCCCTCTTCTTTATATCTGATCAATAAATACTCTGATCCAAGTAACACATATTTTAAGGTAGAGAGAAAAGAAAAGAAGCTAACCAGGTAGGCAGGAAGGAATTACAGATCTGCCTGGGAAAACACGAAATTTTGAAGAACCCCAAACCCTTGAAAGAGTATGACACTAATACTGACAGCTGATGACTTAAGACATGCATGTCAACTTAAAAGGACAAAGTTCTTTTATAGTCTTTTATTAAATTTACTATTTCACCTACTAAGCAATCATATAATATCCAAGATTCCTAAATATTTCCAACATATTCAACTTAGGGATCCAAGATTCTGAACATGCCATCACCAAAAAAAATTGCAAACCTAAAAAACAAAAAAGGGAACAGAATTAAACAATGGCAAAGGAAAAGACGTTCTCAGAAAAGGTATTTACTTTTAAATTTTTCAAAACACTTTAATGTTACTGCTTTTTCTCATCTTACATTTACAGCTCAAGGCTAATAAAATTTTATTTAGAAACAAAAGTTAATCAAAATAAATGTTAAACATCATACATATCACCTATTTATCTAATATTTACTGGCTCAAAATATGCTTACGTTTATAAATGTGAAGCTTTAAAGTGGCATTATCTCTATATTTTCTTGTAAAAGCTATCATCACAGCGACATTCAAATGTGTCAATGAAATTACAGTTCCTGTGCAACTCATACCGTTAGAACTTACTTTTTTAGCCAATTAACAGTAAAGTCTTTGTTGTTCCACATTAACTTCTAGTACATGAAATAAAGATGTTCTTCAAAGATTTGCTAACCTCAAAACAGCCCAATCTATGAGCATTTTTTACAAGAAAGAAAGAAAAATTGGTGTGCGGGGGTAAGCAGAAAAAAATTAAATCTTCCCAAAAGATAGTTATCAGTAATTGTTATTAAACTAGTATTGCTATACAGAAATAAACTACATGAGCACCTCTCCTGCCACAGGTTTAAATACCATGCTACTGATAATCAGTTTAATGATTCTAAAGAAAACCAACAGTTCTGAGTTCACATGTGTAGAAACAGAAAATTCCAGATGAGGAGAGCTGGCCAGCCAGTGACCCAGGGCGCTCCAGGGCTGCTCAGAATGGACTGGGCAGGCTTGCGAGCCAAGGGGGACCACACACATCAGGAACCCACTCTGGTACACCACGGCCAGCCTGCGTGGCCGGCCTGAGTAGCTGCTCCTCTGTGAGCACAGATTCTCCTGCCATTACAGAAACTCACAGCCGTGCTCTCTCATTTTCAAAAAAGGGTGCAAGAAAATGGGGTGACATACAGAATCAGCGTGATAACTGAGCCTCTAGAAGATATGACTTCTGCTTAAAAACAAAAATACTATCTGTTAAACAAAATTTAAAATTTTCATCTGTATTGCCTCTAGAGTGGGGTGAAATTTCATTTTCTAAGCATCTCATCAATTAAGTAACATGATTCAGGATTTGGAAGCAATTCTGTGATGCTGCTTTTGTTACTAATGCTACTATGTATAAGACAGGAAATGAAATAGAACAATAAAGCACTCATCTTAGTAAGTGGCTTAGTGTAAAATCTGAACTTGAGCAAGAACCCCAGCAAGGCGGACAGCCGAGTTTGGGCCTTAGCACGGCTTCAACAGACTTAGCAAGACTTGGGCCATCAGAAGAAACCTGGCCACTGAGAAAACACATCCCCCAAAAAAGTTGAATGAAGAAAATAATTCTGTTATGTAGAACTATAAAATATATTTTGAACATCTAAAAATTAGAGTTAACTGTACAACTAAATTCCTAATGGGCATTTTATACTTCAGAAAGTAAAACATATTCACAGAAAACATCAAATTTCTTTATCATAGTAAAGGGATGCTATGGCAAGAAACACTTTCTAGTCTGATTACTAAGTTTAAGACTAAAACTACTGATTTTCAAAGGGAAAAAAACTCACTTCAATCTGCAAATTCCTAATATAGTACATACTTCGTTATGAGTCACGTGGCCCAAGAAGCCACTTGGAAAAAAAAGAAAAAAACCCTGCGTTTAAACACTTGTGGTTTGATTAGCACATGGCGACTGGTGTTAACACAGCTACTGAACATCTGTGCAGTTAGGTTCAGCTGCGCTTCACTCTCACAAAGGAAGGAGCAGGGATAGGACAGACATGGAAATGTGAGGCCCCTCTCTGTCCCCTAGGGTTTGCCATTACCATTCTGGGTGAAGTGGTCTCAGGACCAGGCGACAGCACACTTCTAGCCAGAAATCGGATGACCTCAAAACCACCTCATGTCAGGCTGAGGCCTCATTCTTTCGCTTAGAGCTAAAAATAAAAATACATGTGAATGAACAAATGATCATGGAATGAAATCTCTAACATGACACTAAGATATAAAATATCAAAAGTTATTGTTATCACAGAAAAATGAACACGTACACTGGTTTGAAAGGACGGATGCCCTTCTTATCCTGTTGATTCCAAGTTGGTGTCACAAAGCTACAATAGATTTTTATTCATTTCCTGATAGGACATTTATTTTTTATACTGGAACATAACAGCATCATGAATGAGACTAATGAAGGTAAAGTAGCAGTTTAACTTCTTTTTCTAAACATAAACCAGGGCAAAAAAATATAAAGAAAGCTAAGTGTATCCCACTGGTCTGAAATCCCATTTTTGACTATGCAGGATGTCTAGTTCTAGCAATGACATTAGAAATTGTGGAAGTGAACCTGCGAAGCCAACAAAGTAGGGCGGTCACTTGACGAATACCCAGCACCAAAGACACTAGAGAAGGCCAAACCTCCTTGGCCAGTCTGCTGCCCTAGGGATCTCATTCCTAACTCTGTACCTAGGCTGAGACACTAGGAGCCACATGGACTGCTGTCCCCACCAGAGGCAGGAGGGTGGTAGCATCAGGTGACAACACAAGCACACTGCAGGAATACAAGTGACCCACCTAACTAAAACTCTATATGTCTCCTCAGTTTCCCACTGAAAAGGTACCATCAAGCTTCCCACTGAAAAGGATCAATGAATTTTAGTGAGTTAGTTATAAATTTTAACAAGTTACAGAATCAAATCTCTATAAAAATAATTCATATTTTAGTATGGACCGTGTCAAACACATGCTAATGAGAAACTGTTCTTAGTTCAGCCTGAGCCTCTTTTGCAGAGGGGCTAATAAGCCTCACAATACATGGGGTCAACCTACACCCCTGGTTACAAGTCAGCCATCTGCCCCAAGCAGGGACAGACAAACAAGGCTCTCCTCTCCTGGCCCAGGCAGAAGCCATCCGTGCTCCTAATTTAAGAGGAGTCCTGCAATGTCACATGCAGTGCCCCAAGTCAATAGCTACCTGCCTGCTCTGAGCACGACATTTATCAGTCAGAAAATCAGGAGAGGAAGTTTACAATACAGCACTGATTCAGAAAACATCAGGCTGCAGCCACCTCCATTTCTACTCCTGAGACCAAAACACACTTAAAGATACCGACACTTGAACTCACAACCTCACGCTTGCCAGGCAGGCACCGCGCTACTGAACTATATTCCCAGCCCTGTTGTCCAGAATTAGTCCAGCAGAACAGTTAAACACAGAACAAATGTAAATGTACTCTCATGCATTTGCACTAAATTCCCCTATCACCTTTCTCTCTCTCAACCATACGTATGTCATACAGTACTGATTGAATTTCCCAAAGACATGGTTAACAAGAACAACTCCATCTGGGAGAAATGAATGCAGTACTGAAGATCACTGGTGTACAGTGGAAATATTCCTATCTGCCTCACATACGCGACAGCAACTGGGAGGATCACGCAGCGCCTCAGCCTCCTGAGACACTGGTGCCACTGAACTGGTGTCTGAGAAGACTTGCCCTCCCTCAGAGCTTGCTCTCCGGGCTCGCTGGCCCACAGCTCTCTCTTTCCAGCAAGCCTCACGGAAGAGGGCGCCCAATCTTCCTCCCTGAAAGCCCACATTCTACACTCTGTCCCTAAAAGCTGGTTACTCTAGGCACCTCGTACAAGTAGAGTCACATGCTGCTCCTTTTGTGGTGGCTGGCTTAGCTCACCCAGTACCAAAAGCCGAGGGTACCTACCTCTATGCGGCAGCATGCAGCGAACTTCCCTCTCGTCAAGTCGGAGGGTTCGCCATGCGCCCCATGATGGTGACACAGGTAACATCCACCTCGTGGCTATTGTGAATGATGCTGCTATAAAGTGGCAGCATGGTCGTTAAGTTCCTACTTACGGTTTTCTTGGCTATGCACCCAGGAGGGGATGCCCTGGCTCTCACAGGCACTTTTGCCTTTGTCTTCTGTTCTGAGTGACCTCCCTACCGCATTTCATAGGAGCTAAGCAAACAGACACGTGGTGTGTTCCCACCATCGCACAGAGGGTGACAATCGTTTTTAAGATAATTCACATTTGACATAAATTTAGCATTTAGAAGGTCTTTTCCTGTACATTGTATATATTCTCCAAACGCAAAGGATTAGCTGAGATTTTTGAAGTGTTGGCAAATATTCAAGATCCTTATTTCTATTTTTCCATACTTCCTAATCAATGTTCTTTTCCAATCAGATTATTTTAAGTCAAAGACATTACATACTGTCAGATACACAGCTGCCTCACACTAAAAATATTAACAGTTAAGGGCTTTAAAAGACATAAATAAAAATGTAAATATGATGGGATGATACTGGAGATCCTAAGGGAAGACTAACATTAAACAGCTATGAGTATCTCAGTAAGCAGCCTTCACAAATTATTAAGTTATTAAGTAACTCAAATTTGTTTCTGTCAAAGGCATAAATATACAAAGTACTTCCAAATAACAAAAGTAGCCTACTAGAGGTACCAGCAAAAATTCAAAGTTCAAATAACATTTTTGGGAAAACTTTTTTGGCAGTGCTGGGGAATGTAGGTAGGAGCTGAACCACTGAGCAGTACCAAAGCCCAGGCAAGAGCTTCACAACGCACCCTATGGGAACAACCTGCTGTCCGCCAGGCTGCTCTTGTACTTCCCTGAAATAAACACCCTTGAAATAATCTTCCAACACCTGTACTATGTAGGGTCCGTAACATTACGTTTCTAGGGGGAAACCACACAAGAAAAACAAATGTGCAGTTATATTTATTAGCTATCGATGAGATGAACAAATTTATATTCCCAAATAAAAATTTAAGTGTTTAAAAGTCCATGCCCTACATATGAAAAAAAAACTATTTATAATAATTTCCTTGGTTTGATTGGTAAATGCTATATGCATGTACTAAAACACCATATTATACCCCATTAATATGTACATTATTACGTGCAATAAAAAATAAATCACTTAAAGACACATGCTAATTTTGAGGCCCTCAACTGTATTACATTCATGTATATGCTTATCTTTCTCCAATATTAATATTATATGTTTATAAGTGTTCAAGTTTTCTTTTATAAAATTTGTTTCTACGCATTACAAATGTGCATGTGCTTTTTTCTCCACAATTTGCTTGAAGTTGCCAACAACCATCTCAGTGCAGACCTTATGCTCTTTTCTTTTTTTTCTAATGTCCCGTTATTCTTTAATTTAGTTTTCCCTTAATTAAAAAAATGAGAGAAAATAGATTAATTTAAAAATAGGGGGAAGATTGAGATAAAAGAGGATATTGCAATAGAACAATGCAGGGCAGAACCGAGCAATTCAAGCATCATTGTGTTTCACCACCAGATAATCTAACATAATAGTAGTCACCATAGTGTCTCTTTCCTTAAATTATTTGAGTGTAACTTCACGTGCTATAATATCAAGCGTATCTAGACAGTGTGAAGCCTTTCAAGAGAATGCAAGAATTACAGGGTATTTAGAACCTGCTAGTAGAAAACAAACAATGGTTTCTATATTATCTCTTTGCCTATAAAGAGTTTTGTTTATACTATAGCATACAGTGAAATATAGTAAGATACAACATGTTAAAACCAGTGGAAACAGATTACTACAGCTTGATGGGACTTTAAAGCAAGACGATATTAGATCAGTACTAGCTTTTATGTTGTGTTGCTTTCTTCAAAATAGCTATTCGTGCTATCAAAGATACTAAAATCGAACAACTCAGGTTAAAACCATTGCGGTTAATGAGTGAAAACATTATATGGCTTCAAACCAATATAACTGGGAGTCATGATTACCACATACTTCTATGTATTCTTATCATTTCTTACACTAGGGAAACTATTCAGTATTTATACATGTGAGTTTGATTTATTTCACTTATGAGTATGGTCTCAAGCTGTGTCCATTTATTTATAGTTAAAAACTTAAAAAAGTACCAGTCGTTATTTTTCAATCTCAGGATTCCCTTTACTAGGGAAGTTTTTGAAAAATATGGTGGCGCCTCAGTTCACCGACTTAATTTGTTCTACAGTTCCAGAAAAGAAGGTCATGCCTGTGTTTGTATGGGAAAGATGGCTGCAGTGTGTTCGTTCACAAATAAAACCAAAATTGGCCAAATGCTTCTGTTTGTGAAACCAAATTGTCCGCAAACAAAAGCATTTGTGAACTGAGGCACTGCTGTGCTCTAATCCAGAAATTGGCTTTTCTGTTGCATACTTAGTGGTCAATTAAAGATCACAGGCTACAGTCTGAGCCTGATGAAACTTCTCCAACAATTCTATCACCAACCTCAAACTGGAAAGAAGAAATGGAAATCCCAGCTGACACAGACAGTGACTAAAACCTCGCGTGTGCAAAGCTGCAGCCACCTGGCCACTCCCATGTATGTGTAAGTGGCTTGACTGTGCGGCTGGCACTCCATAGCACCAGCTCCACATCCATGGATTCAAACCATGGCAGAGCAAAGATGCTTGAAAAGAAAACTGCCTGCACTGACCTTTCTCCCTGTCATTACTTCCTATACTCTTCAGTACAACTGTTCATGTAGCACTCACGTATCAGGCTTACAGATCAACTAGAGTTGAGCTGCAGTGTAGACAAGGACGTGGCGGCTTATCTACACACATGGCACCACCTTATTATCCGAGGACTTGAGCACCTAAGGGTTCTAGTATCCATGGAAGGTTCCAGAACCAACCTCCATGAATCCCAAGAAACAACTGTAACATAGGAATATTTCTATAAGGACCTCTATATAAAATCCATACTCTGTACTTTTAAAGAAGTTGAATCTCACACACACATACACACCCCCCCAGATAAAACAACTGTCTCATTTCTCTTCCTCAGGAGCTACCATGTGGAGACAAGCATGCAGCTACAGCTCTCATGTCCCACCTGTCCCCAGCCACAGGCCTCTAAATGGGGGCCCT